CATCTCCAAAGACTTTTTTTGTTACAGTGACCACATTTGCTTTTACAATGGAGGTATTCCCCCATTTCCTTCTGTTGTTTTCCTCAATCCGGACTGTCATCTCCTTCCGCTTGTGCTTCAAATAGTTCTTGAATTCTTTCCACCTATTAGGCAGCTTCTTAATCAGTGCAGCGGCTTGTAATGATTCACTCAGGAACATTCCCTCTACATGAATTTCGTGCAGAATTACTTGGAACTCTTGGAGTTGACCGATGATGGTTTTTGAATCCACCATCTTAAAGTCAAGAAACCAATCAACGACAAATTTCTTTACCCCAGCATCCTCTGTCTTGTACTTCGTGTCCAAAGCACCCCACAGCTCCTTTGCCGACTTCTTAGCATAAAACACATTGAAAAGTGAATCTGCCAAGCCGTTCAAAACATAGTTCCGGCAAAAGAAGTATGACTGCTTCCAAGCATCTAGAGCCATGAGCTTCTGTTTGTCTGGCTCATTTTCCTCCACAGCTGGTAGATCCTCACTCAAAACCCTCGCAAGGTTAAGAGTAGTCAAGTAGAATAGCATCTTCTGCTACCACCTCTTGAAATTCACTCACGTGAACTTCTCCGGGCGGTCGTAATGGTTGAGCAGGCCTCTTGGAAAACCAGGAGCAACAACAGGGTTGACCACAGAGGTCACAGCAGTAGGGGCTTGTAAGCCAGTTGTCCTGGGGTTCAAATCCCCATCAACATTAGCAGTAGGAGCAGCATCGGTGACAGTTGCTATTTCTAAAAATTACAACAGACTTTCACTTTCTATGTTTCTGAAAATTAAACTCAACACTAGAAAATTTCACAGTTGGAAATTTAATTCAAAATTAGTCTCACCACTTAACCTAGAATCGAACATGGTCAAAAGTGTTCCTAGGAAGACTGGAGGGGTCACACCGATCCCACTTAAAGCATCCATAACTTCTTTCCTTCGGAAAATTCGGATGCCCCAAAGGGCTCATGCCCTTATCAAAACCTTGAGGTTTAAATATCCATCAAAATTTTCCTCTACAATTAATGTGGGATTTGTAGTTATACACAATTCTCAATACCTCATTCATGAGGCCATTTTTATGAGACAATTTCTCATTCAATTTTTAATGGTTTTTGGTCATGCTTTTTGTGGTGTAAAGACTTTGTTACAAAGAATCTAAACTCACTTAATGCAACCTCAATCAATGGTTGGGACCTACTATAATTTCACATTAAAGTCACCATAAAATCATATTTTTTCCAATAGTAATATTATCTAATTTTTTTAGTAGAATTACGACAATTTGTGATTTACAAAAAAAAAAAAAAAAAAGTTATAAATTTTGTGATAATGTTATGTATTTTTATGATTATGTTACACATTTTTTATCTAAATATTTTTTAACCAAAAAATGTGTAATATTACCACAAAAAAGCATAACATTACCACAAAATGCTTCATTTCTGAGTCATAAATTTTCATAATTCTACCCAGAAAAAAAAACATAATATTACCATAAAAATATATAATATATATCATAAAATTGTATAACAAGAATGCATATAATACACACCCTTAAAATATGTGTACTGTAGCATTTTTCATGTTGTATTGTTGTTTGATATATCAAATCTTGTCCTTCAAAATTCAAGCATTAGAATTTGTATATTCCTTTCAAATTATCTTTGATTTTTGATGGGATCAAGAGTAGAGTAAGTTCAATGAATATATTCTCCTGTAATTTCCATGCTTTCCTCCCTGCTTCATTATATTATCATTTTGTTTGATAGGGGTGTGTGCAAAAATTGTCAACCATAAACCTATACCAAACGTGCCGGAGACCCCCAGTCTCCAAGCACCCCCATCACCCCCTACACACACGTGGGGATTGGTCATTAGATCAAAAAAAAAAAAATGAATCAATCACACCCCATTGGGGGCCTTGGGATCACCTCCAGTGGGGGTCCGAGGCTTTTTCCAAACCTATACCAACCCAAACTAACCCTTGAAGTTCGAGAACGTGGGTGGATATTCACAATTTTAGTGAATATAATATTGTGAATTTTTGAAAAATATAAAGAGTAATACCAGACATTTTATTCACCCAAAAAATACAAGACATTTTAAAAAATTTATTAAAATTTTTATTAAATGTTTTACATAGGTATAAGATCCATACCATGCAAATTCCATGCGAGCGTAAGACACTTGGTAAAACTTTTGGGATTTCTAACATTTTTGAAATGTAAATAATCATACTTTCAATAAATTAGAATAACGAAATAATCATACTTTCAATAAATTAGAATAACGAAATAATCATACTTTCAATAAATTAGAATAACGAAATAATCATACTTTCAATAAATTAGAATAACGAAATAATCATACTTTCAATAAATTAGAATAACGAAATAATCATACTTTCAATAAATTAGAATAACGAAATAATCATACTTTCAATAAATTAGAATAACGAAATAATCATACTTTCAATAAATTAGAATAACGAAATAATCATACTTTCAATAAATTAGAATAACGAAATAATCATACTTTCAATAAATTAGAATAACGAAATAATCATACTTTCAATAAATTAGAATAACGAAATAATCATACTTTCAATAAATTAGAATACTCCCTCGAGCCATTCGGGCCAAAATGTTTCGAACTACGAAACATTTCCCTTAGAATAATATGTATTTTTAAGAACTGTGAATTTTTTTTAACAAGTATGAATATTCACACTAACTTTTATATTTTTAAAAAATTTTATGATATTTTACTAATTGAAATGAAAGTATAAATATTCACATTTATAATTTTCACAATTACTACACAAAACATCTCTAAAAAATGTAAAATTCTAGAAGTAAAAAAAAAAAAAAAAAAATCATACAAAAAATCATACTTTCAGATCATAAAAAAAAAAAAGTGAAAATTTTATTTTTTCATTTTACATAATTTTATATTCAATTACGATTTTGTTTGATATATCTTATCGAGTGGTTTTCAAAAATCAAAATTTTATATATAAAAAAAAATGGATGTGTATTTTCAAAGTTTTGCAAAAAAAATTTTTTAAAAAAAAAGGAAAGAAAAGAAAAGAAAAAAAGTTACCATGTAAGCATCTTGACCAAAGAGTGTAAAATTATCATGAAAAAACATTTAATTTTTTTTAATTTTTTTTTATAACACAGTTTAAACATATACAGCTTATCGAATCACGAATATTTTCATAGCATCTATGACTAAACAAATTCTTCAAAAAAAGTTTTTCACAAATTTTCTATTTTATTTTTCCTAATATGATTTTTCTTGTGTATATTAATTTGTGAAATATGATGATCAGGTATTTGAATAATTTAAAATTTTGTGCCAAGATTTGAAATAAACTATTAGTTTTTTGTTTGAAATTATAAAAATATTATAGTTGTCAGGTCAGTGATATCCTTTTTCATTTCTAGCCTGCTTAATCTACTCAAACTGTTGGTTTAAATTGGTAAAATATTTAACCAAACTCACTAATTTTATGAATAAGTTAAATTGGTAACAAATTAAAAAATTCTTAACCTCCCAAACAGCCCCCTAGCTTGACTAAAATAAAACTAACTTGCACATATCAGTTTCATATTTCAATACTGATTTTTTCTAATTAAAAAACGAAATGGAGTAAGGATCATTCATAACATTATTAAAAGCATTAATGCTAGCCCACGTTACCGATCCATTCAAATGAATGAATTTGAAAAGTCTTCATTTTTTTTTTTTAATTATGAAACTGAAAAGTCTTCAGCTTAATGTCAGTGATGACGATTTTAGGCCAAACGGAATGTTCCTAGCTAGTAGCTGGTTGCGGGAAAATTATTTATTCAACCAGCCATGTCCCACCATCAGTCTCCAAATACCATATTTGATGAAATACAAAATTATAACATATTTAAGACATTAAGTGATCATATTTTAAAATAATAAAATAACTTGTTGTTTAAAGTGAAATTTTCATATTAAGGCCTTGTTTGGGATACACATATTTTAGCCTAAAAGTCAAAAAGTTACTAAAAAAATCAAAAAGCCTATAACCTATATCAAAAAGTAAAAGATTCAATTTTTTCTCTACTTTTTACAAGTCTTTTCGTAAAAAATCAAAATTCATTCCAAACATACTAGTTTTTTTATCTCATGTCTTAGTCAAAAAATCAAAAAGTTACTAAAATAACATGTTCCCAAACAAGGCCTAAGTACATATTTTTTTTTGTAGTATAAATTTTCTATATGCATATTAGGACAAATTATTAGTTTGCAACCGTACACTTTATACCAAATTCTATTTTATTCCTTAACTTTTTAATTGTAGTCAACTTCCTACATTTCAAGTCAAGTTCTATTATACACTTAAAATCACTACAAAAAATGTCACTTTTGGCTGCCAAAAGTCTAATATTTAGTCGCTGAAACGATTTAGCGACTAAAATATTTTGTCGCCAAGCTCGTCGCCTTTACCCTGTCGGCGATAGTATTGGCGACTAATTTCGTTTGGTCGCCGAAAGTGACTACATTTGGCTACTAATATTAGTTTAGTCGGCAAATGTTATGTTTCCACCACTAAAACCTTTAATCGCCGAATGAGGCTTTTTGGCTAAGTTGTTGTGATCAGGGAAGGTGTCACCTTCAGCTACTAAATAATTAGTCGCCGAAAGTATATATTTGGCTACGAAACTGTATTTAGTCGGCAAAAGGTGCATTCGGCGACTAAAGTATTAGTCACTAAAAGTGCATTGGGTTATGTTTTTGCTACTAAATTCTTAGTCACCAAAACATTTGATTATGTATTTAGCTACCAAAATATTTGGTGACCAAATACTTTAACGTGTTTTTTTTATATTTTTTTTTTCTAAACAACATGTATCCATTATTAATACAACTTGTACCCTGTATAAACAATATAATCCATCAACGCTAAATATGTTATCAAGCATTCAACAATGTGCACACATTTTAGTTCCAACCATCCAAAAAATTAATATTGAACGTCTAATTATATATATATTACAAATTCCATAAGAACCAAATCTAATCCAACGTCAATAATTTAATTTCATACATAATATAGGAAAAACCAACTACTCCCATTATACATTTTAGTTCCAACCATCCAAAAATAAGTACTAATAAGTACAAGATGTCGTCCTGGCATCACTATAAGCTCCCATTGTTCGAGTCCTTCCATAAAACCCTTCGATTGGAAGGGGCCAACAACTCTCACTCGCCCATCCCCTTCGTCCACTGCTGCTGGCACCTGCAGAACCATTGCATGAATGTGAAATCAAGTGCATGTCTAATAAAAATATAGAAAGACATATTCATAGTGTCCTCGATCCAATTATACAATGTAAAATTACTGCATAGGAAAAAAATAAAAGACGTGCTTACCTGCAGTACCATGGAAGTTGAACCCATCATCCCAACCAGGCAATTGGACTTGTGTTCAGATTCTTGCATCTCCAGAGCCTGAAGAGACCTTCAGCAATTGAGTTAGGAAACAGATGTAGTAAATAAAAAAGAAAACTCATCAATATTAAATAATGAAAGTCATTACTATTCATTTATTCCAATATAGAACATGCATATGTGTTGTTATGAAAGAAGTGTTGTGAAGTATCACTGATGAGAAAGTGCTGATGTAAATAGAAACTTCTGAGAAAAGTCATTGCTATTCATTTCTTCTTTTTTGCTTTCAATACATCAACAATACTTAGATAATGTTGCAAAGGAGGGAAGGTTACTTAGATAATGTGGTTTGCACTGGTATCAAACAAATTATTGAGTAAAGTTATTTATCGAAACAATAAAATAAGTAGTTCATGATACAGCAAAAATACTTCACATCCCAATTATTTACTGAAAGATCAAAAGGTTGGTGACAATATGTGTAAAAAAAAATGCAAGAAGCCCCTATATGTTCATAATTCGAGGAAATTTCCCAAGCTCTCTTTTCTGACTCCAAAACAGTTACTTTATCATCTGCCAACATGCCAAATGTAAGCCGTACTAAAACTTAAATTGAAAGGCAAACTCATTCACACATTGAATAAATTGAATGAATTCTAACAGGGTACACTTGTTAATGTGACTAGGCCTAATCTCGGTCATGATGGCCGAAGATGATGGCATAGACAGCTGAATTGCAAAAAACAGTACATGAAGCCAACAAGAAGTAAATTTAATAAAAAGCCTTAATGAGTTGAGTACGCATTTAACAGGTTCAGCTTTATCATGTGTTGCCAAGACTAGCATATTACAAGCTCGTAAGACTTTGTTTTAATTTCACCTCAACGCATATATTAATGTCGTGAATCATGATGAAATCAGTCCTAATCCAAAATACAAAACCAATAAATTGTTTGTCACTCCTATGCATGTCTACAAAACTTGCCCAACCAATAAATCATTAAATTGTTTGTATATAATAGAATTTGAAATTTTCATGACGAATACATACACTTCCCTAACCAATAGAATTCCCAATAAAACTTTGTCTAAACGCTAGAGTTGAACTACATGAAACTAATGTTTTTAAAACATTTAAACTTTTTTAAAAGTAACTCATGTTAGATCAAGGTTCTCATCATTGGGCAAACCAAAATTCAGAGTACATAATTATAAATCAATTGCATTTCCATATAACATTGACTGAAGGCAAGAATTGAATAAGCCATATCTTTTTTAAACCATTAAGATAGTTCAACTCTTGCAATTAATAGTTCTAAATTTAGCACTTCCAAGTTCCAACCACTCAGATAAAGGCTAAAAGCAGCAGTACCAACCGAAAACCTATTTTAGAATTAACTACAGAGGGAATAGAATGGTGATTCCATAGGCTTTCCTATAGAATGACCAAACATAAGAAAGAATATTTGTCATTATTTTTTTAAGTCTAACCAAACATAAGAAAGAATATTTTGATGGAATAATCATTTCATTCCAATGAACCAAACACTATCTAAGTCTCTAATAGATTATCTGCAAATTATGAATTAAATTAACATAATCCATTGTTTTTGCAATTTGTTTACAACCCAATCTCCTCATCAGCACATTGAATAAATTTGATAAATTCAATCCATAACCAGCAAAATGGAAAAGAGTGAGAGCTAAAGGAGTGTTCTCACACAGAAGCCGGTTTTGACCATGAAAAACTCCATTGAACCTCCAATCATCACCGACACGACTGATATCTTCAGGTACCAATCGCAAAACTTCATTTCTCTATTTCACTTCTTTTTCCACTGCAAATTTGTACAAAAATGAGCAATTAGGGCAAGTTTCATTCAGCAATTAACAAACAAATAGCCATACTCAAACGCATACACACAGATGATCAGAGAAAGAACTAAAGAGATGTGAAGCAGAAGAAAAACACAAACCTGAGAAGAAATTAATGGATTAGAAAGCGATGTGAAGCAGAAGAAAAACACAAACCTGAGAAGAAATTAATGGATTAGAAAGCATACCTTCTGACTATTTGAAGAACCCATGTGTGTGAGTGTATGGGTTTTTGTGAGCGAATGATGAAAGAAAGAGAGACAGAAAAACAGAGCCGAGAGGGAGAGAGAGGATCTCAGGCGACAGTGACCAACAAGGAGGTGAATCGGTGCTCCGATTGCCGGCCAACGCGAGGAGGACTGGCGGTAAGAGTGGAGGGGAGAGTAGCGGCGGTGAGGGAGAGGGCGACGGAGAGGGAGAAGGACGCTGAAAAGAGAGAGAGAGACAGAGAGAGAGAGAGAGAGAGAGAGAGAGAGGCGCTATTAATGGTTCAGGGTTGCATTTGGTTTGGTGAGAGCGTGAGATATGTGAGCGAATGATGAAAAAAAGAGAGACAGAAAAACAGAGCCGAGAGGGAGAGAGAGGATCTCAAGCGACAGTGACCAACAAGGAGGTGAATCGGTGCTCCGATTGCCGGCCAATGCGAGGAGGACTGGCGGTAAGAGTGGAGGGGAGAGTAGCGGCGGTGAGGGAGACGGAGACGGAGAGGGAGAAGGACGCTGAAAAGAGAGAGAGAGAGAGAGAGAGAGAGAGAGAGAGAGGCGCTATTAATGGTTCAGGGTTGCATTTGGTTTGGTGAGAGCGTGAGATAATTTATAGAAATGATTATTGGCGACTAAAGCTTTTTGTCGCTAAAGATATTTTATAAATCCCTCTAAATATTTGAAATGTCTCCCTCCAAAACATTTTACTTCTTTGGCGACTAAAATTCAATTTTGTCGCTAAAAACAAACTTTTGGCTACCAAAATTTTGGTCGCCAAAGATAAAAAACAAATTTTTTTATTTTTCGTTTTCATTCGACAAAACAAATCGAAAGATTATAATTTTTTTCTAAAATTAAAAAAAAAATCAATATAGATAAAAATTAACAAAAAAATAGTAAATATTTGTTGCTTATTTTGAATTTTGAATTTTTTAAAAATTTTAAAACATATATATTTCTTAGATTTGGCTCGATAAAATGAATTGAAAAAATAAAAATAAAATTTAAAATAAAATTACTAAAGGACAAATTTTTTTGAAAAAATAGGTGATTTTTTTAGATGTTGCCCAATGGTTCATGCGATACAAAAATAAAATTTAAAATATTAATTTATTATCTTAAAAGAAAAGAGAAGTAAATGTTACAAAGTTTCTGTAGAGATCAAACCAATGTTTTATTCATATACCTACTACTAATGGGAATTCATTTTTATTTAATTAATAAGCATGTTTCATTTTTATTTTTATTTTTATTTTTAAAAAAGAAGCTTCTTTCAATTTTATTTTTCTCATTAAAAAAAAAAAGAAAGTCAAATTTCAAGTGGAGACATAAAATGTCATTGTTGTTAATCTATTCATACTGCAAAAACAAAACAAAAACAAATTTAAGATTTGACAATCTCTATACGAAAAATTCAAGATTTGACGACCTCTTCATAAAAATAAAAATAAAATAAAATAACTATTTTGTTTAATAAACTAAAATAAAATAAAATAAAAGTAACTATTTTGTTTAATCATCTTTGGCGGCTAAAATATGATTTGGTTGGTAAAGATAAAAGTAATCATTTGTTTTCATTCGGCTACTAAACAATTTAGTAGCCAAAAGTAGCTCTACAGCGAAAAAAAGGAATTTTGCCGTTGAAAACATAAAAAATAAATTTTTTATTTTCATTCGGCTACTAAACAATTTAGTAGCCAAAAGTAATTCTACAGCGACTAAAAAGGACTTTTGTTGCTGAAAATATATTTTTGGCGACCAAAATTTTGGTCGCCAAAGATAAAAAATAAATTTTTTCTTTTCATTCGACTACTAAACAATTTAGTAGCCAAAAGTAGCTCTACGGCTACTAAAATTTCTTTTAGTCGCCAATTGTAATATGTTTAGCTACTAAAAATTTTTTTAGTCACCAATTGTAATATTTTTAGCTATTAAATTTTTTTTAATCACCAATAATCAACATTCCCCTACTAAAAAAATTTAGTAGCTAAAAACTTTACTTTTGCCGACTAATATTATTTTTGGTAGCCAATTCCGTAACTTTTGGCGACTAAATTGTTTTTGGTAGCCAAAAATGATCGCGAAAAATGTATTTTCTTGTAGTGAATTAAGTTACATTTTAGGTCTAGTCATATACCGTTGTTCAAAAATTGATTGAGAAATTAAATTGAGAAACTAAATTAAGATTTTGATAAAAATGTAATGGTACAAAACATAATTAATACTACTAAGTGATATGCTACGTCTATTTTTAAAACAGAGTTACATTATATATAGAAATCAAAATATTATGTTTGAATATGAAAATTAGAATATGAATTATTTTGATTATAAGAATCTTACCTTGTGTATATTGTTTCCTAATTTGTATCATGGATATATTATATATACATGGCTTCTACTTCATTGATTGGTAAGCCAAATAATTCTTTTTGGGCATGTTTGATTGGATGGATTAGAGCATGTGATTGAGATTATTAATCCGTGAGCTCAATTATCTTATGTTTGTTTTAACGTTTTGGTTTAAGATTATTAATCCAATAGATAATTAATCCAACAAATTTGTAGGATTATTAGCAATAGGGTATGGGTGGAATTATTAATCCAATGGATAATTTATCCTATTAATCCAATTTGATAGTGAATACCACACTAATTTGATAGAATTATTAATACCTCACTATTAGTCTTGTGAATCAAATATGGCCTTTATTTTTTTTGATATCCAAGCTTCCCTAACCATCTTTTACTCAACCATCCATCACCACTGCCTGCCTCATTCGCAGATCTAGGAAACCAACAAAACGATAGGTCAAAATGTCAAGTTAAAACACGAATATCATGTATAATAAAAGCACAAGCCCAATGGACTTCATTGATTGATAAGTCAAATAATTATTTTTATTTTTTTTGGTATCAGAGTCTCCCTAACCGTCTCTTACTCAACCACCCATCACCACTGACTGACTCATTCGCAAATCTAGGAAACCAACAAGAGAATAAGCCAAAATGTTGAGTTAAAACACGAATATCATGTATAATAGACGCATAAGCCCAAGGGGGTCGGTTTTTGACACACATAGTGTGATGGCTGTTTTGTCATCCCTAATAATTTTTACTTGTGAGATTGAGTGCCTGGCCATAAGGCATGCCCACCTAATTGCTAGACATTCTCCTTGCAAGGCTGAGCTAGCCTTCATCCCATGGGTTGTTCTAAAAACCAGAGAGCCTTACCATTCATAGTATTGAATTATATAATTTGTAATAATTAAATTCACAAATAACATCGGTATCATAATATTCCCCTATATAAATAGAACCAATGGCAATTTGATTGGAAGTAACGCAATGTGATTGGAAGCCTAGGAATGGCCCGAGACATTTAAAAAGTAAAGAGAGAACTAAAAAGCCGTGCATATTGTTACTTCTAAAAGCAAATAATAATAACTAGGTACGTAACATTTACGAAGGAAATATAGTTTGTTATTTGTCAACATTGGGTTTTTTGACCATGAATAAGTAGAAGTCTAAACTCAATTATATGTGACGCAAAGGAATGTGTGGTCCTCTATGTAATTGTTTTTTTTTCCCCCTATAAATGCCCTATCATCTCTACCCCCAATTTTCATTGCAACACATCTTTAGAATCACATTCTCAGTAGCCATGTTAAGCCTCGAGCTCTCAACTTCTTTGCTCTTTTGCCTTCTTTCTTTGCTCTTCTTGTTCATCCTCAATTCCAAGTCCATTTTCACAACCTTTTTTTCCTCCAACAAGTCGCCTAAGATTCCAAGATCATACCCACTTGTGGGCTCCTTCCCCGCATTCTATGCGAATCGACATCAACTCATCCAATGGACATCTGATTTGGTGACCAGCACACCCACTTCTACTGTCGTCCTCAACCGCTCTCTAGGTCGCGGCCAAGTCTTCACCGCCAACCCTTCCAATGTCCAGCACATTCTCAAGTCCCATTTCCATATCTACCAAAAGGGCGATATGGCTCGAACACTTATCTGGGACCTACTCGGTGATGGCATCTTTAATGTCGACGGCGAGAGCTGGAAGTTCCAGAGACAAGTTGCCAGTCATGAATTCAACACCAAATCTTTACGCAAATTCATCGAGACTGTTGTTGATAAAGAGCTCTCAGACCGACTCACTCCGATCTTCTCTGCCGCTGCTGTAAATAAAAATGTGCTGGACCTTCAGGACATTCTGCAGAGATTTGGATTCGATAACATATGCAAGATTGCTTTCGGACACGATCCTGCGTATTTACTACCATCTCTGCCGCAAGAAAAATTTGCGCTAGCCTTTGAAAATGCTGCTCGAATCAGCGGTGAAAGGTTCGGAGAGTTCCATCCCCTGATTTGGAAAATTAAACGGGTTCTCAACATTGGATCAGAGAAACAAATGCGAATTGCTGTAAATGAAGTTCGGGAATTCGCAAAAGAAATAGTCAAAGAAAAGAAGCAAGAACTGGGTGAAAAATCATCACTCGAATCCGTTGATCTTTTATCACGATTCTTGAGTTCTGGTCATTCAGATGAAAACTTCATCATTGATATAGTGATCAGCTTCATATTGGCAGGTCGCGACACCACATCAGCCGCCTTGATATGGTTCTTCTTGCTGGTCTCTAAACACCCAAATGTCGAAAATGAGATTCTCAAAGAGATCAATGACAAGTCCGAAGCTGCGACTTTCGAAGAAGTAAAAGACATGGTTTACACGCATGCGGCCCTGAGCGAGAGCATGAGACTCTACCCACCGGTCCCCGTTGACGGAAAAGAAGCGGTAGATGATGACGTGTTACCGGATGGGACGGTAATCAAGAAAGGTACGAGAGTGGCTTACCATCCTTACGCAATGGGGCGGTCGGAAAAGCTGTGGGGGTCGGACTGGGCAGAGTTCCGGCCGGAGAGGTGGTTGGAAATGAGAGACGCGGCGGCCGGACAGTGGAGCTTCGTGGCAAGGGACCCATACACGTATCCAGTGTTCCAGGCCGGTCCGAGGATATTGTTGAGGCGGTTCCGGATAGTGCCAGCTTTTGAGGAAGGTATTGAGCCTGTTTTCATAGCTCATCTGTCGTCGAAGATGAAAGGTGGCTTTCCGGTGAGAATTGAAGAGAGGGTGTAGAATTTCTAATGGAGGCGACGTTGGTTGACTGATATAATTGCCGGGAGAAGGATTAATTGCTTTGAATATTTATTTATTTATATAAAATTCTTTAACAATTAACATAATGATCAGTGGAACGTGTTTGTCGTACGATTGTTCTCCCTTAGGTGTTGTTTGGGTTTGTTTAAATAAGTGTATTTTTTAAAAAAATTTATTAAATATGGATTGAGTATGAATTGAATCTGAAGTGATGTGGTAGAGAGGTGATGAGACTTAAATAAGATGATATGACTTATATAGGATAGTGATTTTTTGATTTTTTAAAGTTATGACAAATAAGGCCTTACATTCTGACATTGTTTGAAATATGTTATTTTAATAATTTTTTAGTTTTTTTATAAAATAATATGTAAAAAAATAAAAAATAATGTGATAATTTATAATAATTTTTCAATTTTTTTAAATTAAAATATACTGTTGACAAATGAAATCTCAATTATTTTATATAGAAAAAAACCTTAAAAAGTTTATTATTGTGTTCATAGTTACAAAATGAGTCTGGTTATCGATTATCAAGACATAAAAAAAAGGTATAGAATTTAAAAATTATAAGATATTTTTTTATTAAATTTAATGTATTTTTATTGAAATTAATATTTTTTTAATATTTATATATATTTTTAAACAAAAAATGATATAGAAGCCTCCTTTTAAATTTGTTTTGCAGATTTAGCATTGTTGTTCGACAACAAAAGTTAGACTTACTTTTCAAATCTAATGATGTGATAACTAAATATTTTCTCATATTTTCTCTAACTATTAATTAATTATATAATTTAGACATTATTAAATTTAAAAAATAAATTTACAAAGTGAAAAAAATTATACAATAATTTTAAAGTATCACGTGATCATCACTCATGCATCATCCAACCAATAGGATTTCTAAAGTATCAGGTGATCATCACTGATGCATCATCCAACCAATAGGATTTGCTTTCACGTGATGTCACTTTCTTTAATTGCAAGGAAAGAATTTGATTTAATTTTGATTTCTTTTTCTTTAATTGCCAAACTAGCCTCATCATTCTTTATCTTATTTGCACATTATACTACAAAAATTAAAATTAAATCATCAAACTCAACTCACAATAACGTGGAAGAATTAATTTAATAAAAATATAATAATGATTAAAAAAAAAATTGGGCACTTTTAACCATTCATCAACACACTTTTCATGTATACGCGTAGAATTTATTATATTTAAAAATCAATTAGTGAGAAGTGCTAAATAAGTAAGTTTTTTTTTTTTTTTTTGCGCATATTATCAAAGATATGCAAAAAATAAAGAAGTAATTTGACCTAAATAAGTCAAAAAGTCAATAAATTAGTTTATAAACTACTTTTCAAAAGAGGCCATAAGATGTGAAACGTTTCCGTAGTAAAATACTCAGGTCATATATAGCCATCCAAAGAGTTCTATAACTATTTGATTCATTAAGAAAAATCATATTTAAGTTTACTTTTTAGACCTATTTCATAAACCTAATGATGTATCAAGAAAATGATTGATTGATAATTAAAAAATATTTAATTATCAATCAAATATCTTTTTAATACATTACCGAGTCTAAAAAATAGGTCTAACCTAAATTGTTAGAGTAAATTGTTTTATTTACATATTGATTGGATGATTAATAGATGGCAAAATCTTGATGACGGCGCAGTTCATTTACGGTGCACGCCATCAACATAGGGATAAACTTCTTTCCATGTCTCTATATTCATTTATACTTTTCTCATAGGCCCAAATTTAAATTTACATTAATAATTTAATTCGTTTTCGTTGTAAGTTTCATAATAAATATTTTCTATACAAAAAATTAATTTCATCAAATATAAATAAACATAAAACTAAATTATATTTTATTTTATAAAATGAATAGTAAATAAGATTGTAAATTTAAAGAAAAATTATTTATAAGTCCTATTAAGAGAACTTAAGCTATGTGAAGTCATGTGTAATTTCTTATAGAGTTTAAGTCCTATTTAAATAGGAATGTATTCCACAAGATCCTATGAGTTGTAAAAAAATAGTATTAACATACTATTATACCTTATAATGGCAAAACCATATATACGAAATTAAATGTTATCATAAATCATATCTATGTGAATGTGAATTTGAATTTCAAAATACCTGAATAAGTAACATTTTCATATTTAATTTAAAAAATCAAAAACCTAGTAAGTTTGCGAAACGTAACGTGGCACGTACATAAACATTGAACACAATAACGTCACAATACAATTCAAAGAAAAAATACAACCGAACGTAGCACGCACAAAACATGACAATATTACAGATGTGGGTTAACATTATAACCTAAATGTAACGTCATTGGAGGCTAATGAAAGTGTGTCAATGTATGAATGTATCATTTTACAATGCGAATGTGTTTTTTCTACATCTAAATGTCGCTTCTGATATCGTCACGTAACGTTATATTTATGTAGGTGTCACGTTATATTTCGCAAACATAATGCGTTTTTAATTTTTTTTAATTAAATGTGAAAATGTTGCTGATTTATAAAAAAAATGATGCATCCATACATTGGCACACTTTCATTAGCCTTCAATGACGTTACATTTAGGCTGTAATATTAACCTACATCTACAATGTTGTCATGTTTTGTGCGTGCTACGTTTGGTTGTATTTGTCTTTAAATTTGTGTTGTGACGTTACTGTATTAAGTGTTTATATACGTGTCACGTTACGTTTCGCAAACTTAATGGATTTTTTTATTTTTTAATTCAATGTGAAAATGTTGCTGGTTTACGAAAAATGGTATATCCATACATTGACACACTTTTATTAACCTTCAATGACATTACATTTAGATTGTAATGTTAACCCATATCTATAATGTTGTCATGTTTTGTGCGTGTTACGTTCGATTATATTTTTTCTTTGAAATTGTGTTGTGACGTTGTTATATTTAACGTTTATGTATGTGTCACGTTACGTTTCGCAAACTTACTAGGTTTTTGATTTTTTAAATTGAATGTAAAAATATTGCTTGTTCGTTTATTTTGAAATTCAAATTCACACTCATATAAATATGATCTATGGTAACATTCAATTTCCTATATATAGTTTTGCTATTATTTATGATATTAACAACTAATATTGAGGGTAAATGTGTATTTTGAAATTCAAATTCACATTCATATAGATATGATCTATGGCAATATTCAATTTCCTATATATGTTTTTGCCATTACTATGATATTGACAACTAATATTTAGGGTAAATGTGTCAACAAACTTGCTACAGGACTTATAGGAACACAAGTTTTTTAGTAGAACCATATGTAGCATAAGTCTCCCTAATAGGACTTATAAATAATTTTTCCTAAATTTAAATCATTTATTTTATAAGCCAAAACACGATTTGTTTTTATATTTATAATTATTCGATATGTTTAATTTTTTGTAAAAATAACCTACACTATAAAGTTGATGAAATAAATAATTTAAATTATTAAAGTGAGTTTGAATTCAGACCCATTAAAAAAAATGATAGATATAAAAAAAATGAAGTGTTGATGGAGTTTATCTCATCAAGATTATGAGAGAAAATTGGTTTTAGGTGTTTTTAAATGAGAGGACGATTTCATAAATTGACACTGGGCGAAGCTAGTTTGGACTGAGCTAAGCTGGGCCAAGAGTCGTTGGGCCGAGCTAAGTTCAAACAAATACTTGGCACAATCGGTCAGAGCCCCGGTCTGGTCCAATCGAAGCAACCTTAGATCGTCAGCCTGGTTAATCATATTCGCTATGCCGAGTTAGACGGGCGTAGCCTTCCACAGATCAGTCTGACTGGGTAGTTTCTAGGTCAGAACTAAGAAGGTCGGCTAAGCCGTAGTGGGATCCTCCAGTTAAACCGAACGAGTATCACGGTTGTGGCGTGGTCACGGTGTGATGGCGAGGAACCGTGCTATCCGTTCGCACCAAAGCCGTTTGGCGGTTTTGTTAGGTGGTGTTTAGCTGTATTTGCGCTGACACATGGAAAAATAGGAGAAGAGAGCAGGTCCACACGTCCAAAGGTGAATGGACGCAGAGGCGCGCGCAAAAGGTATATAAACGGTGCTGCGCCCCCATACTCAAGGCTGGAACATCTTATGATCACAACTCACCTACCACTTTATCTCATCTCTCTCTCTCTCCCTATGTGCTAACTTGACCATCGGAGGGTTTTTCGGCAGTACACCGTGGTAGCTCACCGTCATTGTGTTTTCAGATCGATCGGAGTGAAGCACAGCTTAGGCACAAGGAGTACAGACAACGACGGATATTTACTCTCCATACAATTGTCGCCGTCTGTGAAAAACTTTGACAGACAAAACCTTGTCCTCCAAGCTCGTCCGATCATCCTTAATGGCGAACAACGACGACATTCCACTGTCTGCCATCGATAGCATCACTCCGGAGTCCATTCGGAGACGAGATGGTCTTCCCACCATCCCTACCATGGCTAGTCTGGAGGCTTTTCCTAGAGAGCTCCTTAGAGATGCATGAGACAAGCGCGCAAGGAGCACTGACCATTCACGAAGCCCTGACGAGCACCGGCGGTGAAGAGAGTCGCACGCTCAGCGCCTGGAGCATAAGCTGAGGGATCAAGACGCCAACATTCGAAGGATGGCGGCAGAGATGGAGACATTAAAGCAGCAGGTCAAAGGGAAATGTATTGCTGGAGTGGGTAACCACAGTGAGGGCACCCAACCCATCGCTTAGGCAGCTAGAACCAATGACACGTGCTCTCCCTTTCTATCACCAGAAGTTATGGGGTTAGTGACTCTGACCCACCAACAGAGAAGTCTTGCGCGCAAGACAGCAGTTACCGTCCCTCACGTCCGCCGACGACATCGAGATATTCCTACTCCGCTCGTTCGGAGGACTTGAGAGACATCTTGGAAGAGCGAGCGCGACAACAAGAAGCGCAATAGGTGCTAGTGCTCCAGCAGTTATCCTACGAAGGTCGCGCCAGTGAAGAAGTCGTAATGCCGCCACCCTGTCCAATTGTACATGTCCCTTTGGACAAAGACTTGGCAAGACTG